CGCGTATATGAAGGATATTTCATGAAACTACTTCGGACATCTGGCGTTCCGGGAAGTTTGAGGTCGTCGTGAGAAGATCTTCTCTTCTTCTTTTTTTTCAAGGGTGTAATAATGCCCCGGGCACGGTTCGCGAATAAAAACTTTAGCAAAACAGGGCTGCTTCTGCGTGTATTTGGCATTCTGGTTGAGTGCACGTTTATGTATACAATACTATTGGACGAATGTAAATAGAATAGCGAGAGTCAGGCAGAGTTGAAATTAAGATGAAGAGAAAAGAATGATTCATAAATTTGTGCTATCACAATATAAGATATTACACTTCTTTTCTACTTTAGAGTAATATTAAAAAAGGGAAGGAAAAATATGATCTATTATTATATTGATATTACACGTTTGTATTATATTTTCTAAAATATTATTATAATAATAGTTTTATTTATTTCATGATTATTTCCAATTTGTAGCATTGAATTATCACATGCTTTAATTATTTGTTACGTGTTTAGCCACAAAAATGTTTTCGTACAGTTTATAAAAGATTGACATGTAAAATAATAATAAAAAAACTTTTAATCTTCTTTAACTTTGCAGCGGAATATAGAATTTTATTTTAACAATCATTATTAAATCAATAGTTTTGTAGTGCTTTCTCTTAAATTTAATAAAAATTTGTTTCTTTAATTCTTTGATACTTGTTAGGTATAAATTTCTTTTCAACACTCTCTAGCGTTTTCTAGTGTTTTATTATTTCATCATTAGTTCACAATGTTGAGTATTTTGTTTTATCGTTTGTTTATTTCATTCAGAAATAAATTTTTAATTTCACAATTATTTTACAATTCTTAGTATCTTATTATTATTATAATTGTCTAGTTTAACAAGCAGTATTCTGTTCTATTGTTCAGTAATGTTTAGTATTTTATTATTTTGGAATTCTTTAAATTTTACAATTATTTTACGACTTTTAGCATTTGATTGCTTATACATTTGATCGTACCTTCTTTCGTATTTATTCAAATGTTTTTTATGCTCGATGTACATTCTCTGTTCACGATTCAAAGTTTGTTTCTTCATAAATTATCGTTTCTTATCTCTCATTAGTCGTAGAAGAGGCGAGTTACATTGTAATTACCTACAATTCTGGAATGTTGAAATTAATTAATGTATCCGATATCAGGAATTTGTATGCCACATTTACATTCTGATCGTAATTACAGGCTGTTATTCCACTTCGGAAAACTCACAAAGCGAGTGTTATTCGTACGGAATAAGCTTAATTGAAATTGTTTCGGAGTTTTGCTTTCTGTAGAAATTTCACGGCTTCTGTTATTTTTGCTGGTTAACCACGTGGAATATCTATACCTAGATTGAGAAATGCCACAGATTTGTTCGGTAAAAAATTCGATCGATCTCACTTCCTTTGTGAAGACTAAGTGCAATTCCAATCGTGTTTTAAAACCTGACCAGCATTGAGCTGTTAATCGGATCAGTTTTTAATTTGACACTTCCATAACTATAGAATTAATAATTAATTCTGTCAATCTTTAGTCTTTGTATAGTTTATGTTTAATGAAAACGATACATGATAATTTTGACAGTGATAAATTTATTAAAACTTTTGTCATTATTAAATTTTATTAATTTGGTTCAAATATTTTAGTTTCCATTTATATTAAATTATCAATTATACGCTTTATGTTAATTTGACTTGAAATATATAAAGTATCTAAAATAGAGTATTTATTGTAATATTTGATCAATGAAAGATACTTCTATTTTCATTTCTGTAATTATATCGTAAAGTTTAGAAACACATAAAAATCCGCAATCTGTTAATTTGGAGACTAATTAAATTGTATTGATTATATCAATCAAATATATTCAATATATTGTACGTTGAATTTAGCATTTTCCATTAAATTTCTGCAAATGAATGTCCAGAGTTTTATTTTGCTTCTTCTAATTTTTAAAAGATTAAATATGTATCTATTCTGTGGTGTTTAATCCTAGGAAGGAATAGTTTTTATTTTTAAACTTCCATTCTGACTAATTAGCTTGAAAGTTACTCAAGTGACCCATGTCTTAGGTGCACTATACATAATTGGTGGGTGTTATACTAATGACAGAGAGTTTCTTAATGATTCTTCGAGTTTGTTAGTTAATGGCGGAGATTGATTCTAATTCATGCAGATTTTTTAACGTTTTTACGATTTTTATGCATTTATAAAAGATTAGAAGTCGCAAGAACATGTGTAATATGCAAAAATATATAAAACATCCAAAGTAAAGTATTAATAAGTAAAGTTATAAAGTAAAGTTTCCATTCAGGTCTCATTTTTTGAATTAGTAATTATAAAAGTTCAAACTCTGTCGTCAGTTATTAAACAATTATTAATTTAATAATCTTTTTATACTATTTATATTTATATGCAATGTAACTTTCAGTATTAATATAAAATTTGGAGATTCGGTATCAGGACATTAAACCATATTCATATAGTTTGATAGTTTTATTTTTAAAAGTAATAATAAACAATATGTGTTATTATTAATTAAAATTTTTAATCATACGTTATTTATTATTGTTTTCAAAATAAAATTATTAAATTATATGAACATAGTTTAACTCTTAAATGAATCACTGCTACAGTGGATTAATAATCACATTATTGATTATATTGATTATTTGAAGATTTATATAATTCTCCGCTGTCTCATTATACATATGGAATGCCATGTAAATGACAATTTATTCCTGTTTAACAATTCAATAGAAATCAAACGTAAACTTCAATTGTTACATTAAAATTGGAAATCCACTTAAGAGTTTATCTCCTAGTATCTAATTCCTTCACATATATGCAAATGTTGAAAATTCGCTTGAAACTGAAAGGCTTAATCATTCATTTTCGCTTCCAAGTAGACTTGCCGCGAAATAGATTGACATTGACGAGATATTCGATAATCGTGACAATGATCCAGCCTCGAACCAAGGGCAAGGATCGAGAGCAGGTTAAGCTGCTTGCGACGTAACAAATCAAACACACGTGACAAAAGGATTAATCGCGTAATTAACATCCCAGTGCCTCGTTCTTGTAAATACACACGCCTCGGCGAACATTCGATCCACGCGTTTTCGATAACATCTGACGACCGTGTCTCATCCCCTTGGTACTTCCTCGTTTCGATCGGATCTGAGAAGTTGATTCCTGTGTGCACATCCCCTTTATGGAATCGTAAATGTGGACAGTGAACCTCCGTGGTCACGCGGAATAGCTGATAAATGGGAAAATAATGCATATCGCGGTCTGGATGTGGCCTCTCTGCAGAGATATAAATCTCCCCGTAGGACGAAACACTGTTGGACGAACGGCAAATAAATTTCACCGCTTTATCCCGTCCGTTTTTCATAAACGTCCACCACGGTGGTTCCGACTTCGGAATCGATGTTTTATCACGTTTGGTGCGGCGTTGATAGAACTCGCGAGAAAGGAGCACAACCGAATCAGGGATTTCGTGTAAATCCTCTCTTATTACTGTTAAAATTGACCCTCTGTAAGCCACGTGGATCGTTTCTGGTGGCTATAAGGGAAAAGTGTATCGCACGCTTTTCCGGATGTCATTGTTCGAAGTTCTTAACGTCAATTCTTACCTTCAACGTTCCCTCGTTCCCTTTCTACGGTATAAATGTATATTCTCTTCATTTTTTTTTTTTTTTTTTTTTTATTTTTTTTTTTTTTTGAGGGTAACTTTATTTTCGCGTATATGAAGGATATTTCATGAAACTACTTCGGACATCTGGCGTTCCGGGAAGTTTGAGGTCGTCGTGAGAAGATCTTNTTTTTTTTTTTTTTTTTTTTTTTTTTTTTTTTTTTACATAATATCGTTATT